TTTACAGTTGTCCCCTTTCAGTCTCTGAAATCCCTTTGAGGCAATTGAAAAAATATATATATATATTTTTATATTTTATATATATTCCCCCCCAAAAAAATATATATATTATATTTTTTTCTCCAAGAACTGCCCTGAAATGCAGCCCCTGACATAGATGGGTTGCTTTCTCTAAACCGGAAAAGCATGTGGCACAGGCACCAGATCAGAAAGAGCCAATGGGACACAGATGATGGTGAGTGCTGGCCCCTTTTCTCTTTCACTTCTTCCAAGACCTGTGGTAGTGACTGGTCCACGAAGGGGCACAAGACATATACATACTCACCGCCATGGATCTTACAGAAAGCTCCGTGAAACAAGCAGGCACAGCCAGGTCTTGTGAGGGTTATCATGGGTGCAGGTGTAGTAACGTACCCATAGCAGAGAAACTTCATGAAACCAAGAAGCAAGGAAAGGCCTCCTGGGGGAAGTGACATCTAAGCTGAGGCCAGAGGATGAGTAGGAGCTGCCAGAGGAGCAGTGAAAGGGGTGGTTAGTCCAGGCAGGGGAGGAGTCAGTGCAATAGCTCAGAGGTACAGAGAGAAGATTGACTTGAGGATGTTAAAAAAAAAAAAAAAGAAAAAGAAAAAAAGTGTGGTGGAAGGCATTTTGGTGAGGGGTGGGTAACAAGGCTGGACAAACAACATCAAGAGAGACAAGGCTGGAGCCAGTGGGCCGACTGAAATCCTCCAGGAGAACAAAGACACAGAACATGAACTTGGCCCCTACAAGTATGCAAAAGTGCCCAAGTCCTGTGCCCAACAAATCCGGGTTACCTCGGTTGGGCTTTGGGGCTTAGGACATACATGAAAGACTGCTTGATCCGGATCATCTGGCAAACAGCTAGTGCTTAATAAGGTGAATATTCTCACCATTTACTTCCTTGTCTGCTGAAACGATCACCAGGGTACCTGAGCCATTAGAACTCCCCAGCATCAGCATATCTCAGAGAAACTACAAAGCCCTCTTCCCAGCTCCACTCACTGAGAATTCCAGATAAACCCAGATACCTGGCAGGTGATAGTTGACCAGCCTGTCTGCAAAGAGGGCAAATGGAGAGTGGCGAGCTACATCACTGGAAGCCTGTTTATCCTGGGTTAAGGGAATGTTTTCAAGCCTGTAACACCATCATGAGGGTATTGGCAAGTCATTCCTACTTGTCAAGTAACAACATACTCCTTTTTCCTGATTGCTGTATCATTGAGGACAGGCTAGGTTATGTTGCAATGACAAATACCCTTGAACTATCCCTGGGCTTAAAACCATAAAGGTTTGTTTCTTCTACAGAGATCAGCAGAGTTTTGTCTTGTTTTTTTGTTTGTTTGTTTTTATTTTTGTTTTTGTTTTTGTTTTTTCCGTAGCTGGAGGTTCTGGAGACTTGATGTAGTGAAACAGTGGTCACTTTCTGGAACACTGGAGACGGGGAGCCAGAAGGACTAACATTTCTGAAGTCTCTCATCAACAATTCAATGTTTGAATCTAGTTAGCCAGACACATTGCTTCCACTCCCAGCTTCCTGGCCAGAACCAGTCATGTGATCCCCATCAGCCCCAGTGGGGCTGGAAGGGGGCAGCCGTTCGTGTGCAGGGGTAGCAAGCCAGAAATATGCAGGGAGAGTGACTACTCCAGTCTCCAAACTCCCCTTTCTGTCCAAGTCTGAGATTCAGATGTTTTACTAGTCTGGTATCAATTAATTGGGATTCATGAGGGGATTTTTTTGTGGGTTTAGTGTGTGTGTGTGTGTTTTCAGATTTTATTGTTTTATTTATTTGACAGAGCACAAGCAGGAGCAGTGGCAGACAGAGGGAGAGAGTAGGGCCCGCTGAGTAGGGAGCCCAATGTGGGACTTCATGGACCCTGGGACCATGACCTGAGACGACGGTGGCCACTCAATGGACTCAGCCACCCAGGTGCCCCAGGCCTCATGAGTTTTGACCTTCCCATGTTCAAAAGCAATTTATAGGAGAACAGGAACATCAACTTGAATAATCTATTATTTTAGGGAAAAAATATGCAAATTACAAACTATTCTTATCTGCTTAATGGCACCATAACATTTCTTCACCCTACTTGACTGAAAACCAAGAAGACAACATTTTCTTACAGACATATATATTTTTTAAGATTCTATTTATTTGTTAATGAAAAACACAAAGAGAGAGGCAGAGACACAGGCAGAGGGACAAGCAGGGATGGGGAGCCCAATGCAGGACTCCATCCCAGGACCCCTGGATCATGCCCTGAGCTAAAGGCAGATGCTCAACTGCTGAGCCACCCAGGTGTCCCTCCTTACAGATATCTTATAATTCCAATAGTCTTGATTGGGTATCTGATAACAAAAATGAATAGAAATAGGATGTTTCAAGTCCTTTGGAAAACTCTATTGCAGGGATCCCTGAATGGCTCAGCGGGTTTAGCGCCTGCCTTCGGCCTGGGGTGTGATCCTGGAGTCCCAGGATAGGGCCCCACGTCAGGCTTCCTGCATGGACCCTGCTTCTCCCTCTGCCTGTGTCTCTGCCTCTCTTTCTCTCTGTGTCTCTCATGAATAAATAAATAAAATCTTAAAAAAATAAAAAAGGAAATAAAACTCTATTGCATAATCATAGGTTCTATTTACCAAGAGCTCACTGTGGGCAATGGAGAAAACTGAGGCCCAGAGAGGTTAAGCAAGTTGCCCAAAATCACACAAGCAGAAATCTCCATGCTAAAAAAACCCAAATAAACAAACAAAACAAAACAAAAAAAAGAAATCTCCATGCTATGTTCTGCTCCTGTATTGGAGGGAAAAAAATACCAAGATGTCCATTACAAATAATTCTATTCTGTCCTTTGGGGCAAGAGATCCCTTGAATTTAAGAGAAGGACATCTCTCCCACCAGTTTGGTGAGATTAAGGAGATCTGGCATGGGTCCAACCACTGAAGTTTGCAGTCAGTTAAAGTCAGCCTGGCACTAGATCTTGTCTTAAATCCTAACAGCTGAAACATTCTTTATCCAGGAAAGCACATGACTAAGCAGACGTGAATGGGGCACGAGTGGTCCCCTGAGCTCTTGCACACATAGGAAGAGCAGAGCATGTGTACATATAAGCAGCTCCCAGGCGCCTATTATTCAGCCTCACCCTGGAAATTCCCGGCCATTCATTTCTTTGTTTTTCTGCTTGGCCTCACCCATTTGGGGAATGTACAGAGGGCACAGGGGAGGGAGGAGGACTTGCAGCAAAGGACAGAAACTGAGTAGTCCATGGGTAGCTGTGACCAGCAGGACCTGCAAACCTTGGTGGGGATGGAGTGGGCTGGCCTGGTGCCAGGGGCAGGGCAAGGGGGGGGGGCTCTAAAACTTTGGCTAGGTGCCAAATTCCTAATTTGGAGGGCAGTGTAGGTCAAAAGTGGGCAGGCAGGAGAGGAATGGGTAGGGTAGGGGCACGCAGCACCTTGAAGATGCAGACTCCCATCCCCAGAGTCTGGATCCAAGTAGCTCTAAAGTGAGGTGTCTGTGCTTTTAAGAATCCATGGCTCAGGGCACCTGGGTGGCTCAGTGGTTGAGCATCTGCCTTTGCCTCAGATCATGATGGGGGGAGGACCTGGAATCGAGTCCCACATCGGGCTCCCCACAGGGAGCCTGCTTTTCCCTCTGCCTGTGTCTCTGCTTCCCTCTGTGGCTTTTATGAATAAATAAATAAAATCTTTGAAAAAATAAAAAAAGAAGCCATTGGCTCATACTTTCAGAAATGGTGGCTAAGATTCAAGTGCTGGAGGAAGACCTCAGTTCACATCCCACCTATCTCTGTCACTGACATGCTGCTGTGTGACCCTGGGCAAATCCCCTTGTGCTTTGAGAGCCTTACTTCCCTCACCTGTAAGATGTGGATGTTGTATGCAAAGAATTCAGCGCACTGCCTGGCAGGTGGTGAACATTCAGTAAGCCGTGGCCATTATCTGCCCATGCGGATTGCCGAAGAAGACATCTCCGAGACCCAACAGCCCAATAGGAGATTTCAGAGTCTCCAGCAAACCCTGCCTGAATTTGGGCACCACCTAGGCTCAAGCATAGCTCTGTAAGCAAGGGAACGTGGAACACTCCAGGACCCTTGGGGAACTGCTCTGGCCTGAGCCCAAATACAGGTTTCTCCCACTCTCCATCCTCTTCTGGAGCATGAGAAATTCTAAACCTTACCAAAGGGTGTGATTAAAAATAAAACAAAGCAGATATTCCGTGTTGCTGGAAGGATGGGGCTCAGGGAGAGGCTGGAGGCCTGTGACCTCATCTCTGAGCTCCTCATTAGAGGTGGGAATGGGCAAAAGCAGGAGGAAACAAGTTTGAGGGGACACAGGGAAAGCTGTGGCTCACTGCAAGGGAAGTACTAGAATTTACGGCTCGCACAGGGGCAGTAAACTCAGATTCCCACAGGAACCTCAAACCACATGTCTATGGGGTTTGGCAGGTAATAAAATGAAGGAGGAAGCCAGCAGGGTATAAGCAAGGTCATGACCCCATCGTGATCTGTTTTTCCTGGTCCTACTTTTGGTGGAGACTTGGGCTCGGACAAAAATATCCTTGCTCTAAGAAAAACAAGAGAATGGTGATGATAAATGGCACCTGACATGATCACAGGCTCCAAGACCATGAAGGGGTTGAGGGGAGGCTAGAGGACTGTGGGGTTCATCCTGGCCTTGCCCCATCCCAAGAGTCAGCAGCTGCTTGGGTCTCACTCCCTGAAATCCTAGGTGTGACACATTTAGTAGATCCAGACCTTCTGAGCCACCTGGGAAAACATGGAAAAGTGGGTTCCTGAGTGTAATTTCCTTATTTTTAAATGCTGCCTCTGATTTTTAAAAACAACATGTAGATGTCAAATCTAAGATGCCACTGGCAAAAAATAAAATAAAATAAATAAAATTTAAAAACTAAAATAAAATGCCATCGGTGGTGAGACATTCTGATTTAATAAACTACTAGTTTATTAGGTTAATTTAAATTAGTTTAATTTAATAAACTACCAGTAAAGAATACAAGACCTATCATTTAAACTATGACAAGCTATTGATTGTAAGACAAATCCCAATTCCAAAGACATCACAATGTGAAAATAATGTGCATCTTAGAATCCATGAAATACTGTATAATCATAGGCTGGACTTGGCCTGTGGCACCTGGTGCAGTTCCCAACCTGCACAAACGTACATAACAGCCTTATGATGCCACCCCAGGACACTGGGTGTCTGAGGGACTACTAGGAGGTTTGTGTTTGGGTCATATCTATGAATACCAGAGTCCCTTGAGAAATAATCCCTCTTTGATCTCTGTCTGGACCAGCAGTGAGTCAAGGCAGCAAAAAGGAAAATGTGGCCCCATTTGCTCCCATGGGTCATCAGATCACTAATGGTGATACCAAGGCCCCCAAGATGGTGGTTTAGTAGGCATGGAGAAGGGCAGGGGTGACTTCATACAGGATTCTGCTTCCTGTCAGGGATGGGAGCTACTAGGTGAAATCTCACATCTGATTTTATACAGGCTCAGAGAGGTAAAGGCCCTGCCCAATGTCACACAGCTGGGCAGAACAGAGCCAGGCCAGGGGCTCAATCCTCCTCACCCCTGTTCCCAGTGCTGCTTCTGTTGACTGTAAAAGTTCCAGCCGTTCTGCCCTAGGGAGGCTGGACCCAGAGATTCCTGGCCCCTCCCTCGTTCCATTGCCCCTGAGGCTCTGGTTGCTGAGCCTGCCCTAGAAAAAGCTAGTTTATTCCATTCACAAGACTTTTCTATTTTATTAGTAAAATACAAAATGGAACAGACATTGGTGATAGGGTTGGAAAAGCAAAAGGATCAACCAACTCCTTCTGAAGTTCCCCCCAAATTGTCCTTGTCCTGCTGGAGGGAACTAATCAAATCCGTTGGAAGTGTGACTAGCTGCTCCCAGCTACTTTCTCACAAAAGTAGGGGTGGGGTGGGCCCCATCATGGGTGCCCACCCCTTGGAGGTTCTCCCAGCCTGGAGGAGCCCAAAAAAGTGCATTCAGACCTGCGGTCCACCCTCTGAGCCTTCAGAGTGCAACCCCCCCACCCACCCAGCCAGGCCCCAGTATCCCAGGTCATGCCCAGCAGAGGGTGCAGGAGGGCCAGGTGGAGGGGCATGCAACAGCATGGCTGCACCCTCCCTGTGGACCAGGGCTGTCTGCTTCCCCTGGCCATCCCTCTGCCAAATAGAGTGTCACCTAGGCTGCCCCTGGGAGGCTCCCCAGGTGGAAGGCAACGGTCATCCATGGGGACAATCAGAGGAAGGTTGGGAGCTGCCAGCAGGGACCCTGAGGGGTGAGGCCTGTAACCCCAGCAGCCAAAAAGGGAACCCCTGATTTTGTGCTCACAACTTCCCTCCCCACAGGACGGAGTCTCTTTCAGAGGTAAACACAAAACTTCAGGTTTCAATGGTGGCTTCTGATCTCATGGAAAATGTCCTGGAAATCCCTGACCCTGCCTGTGGTGGGCAGGAGGTGAGGGAAGATCCTAGAATGGGGACAGCAGTGTTTTGAGGGAGCGAGAGAGGTGGAAGGGGAAGCCAGGCCACAGGAAAGAAACAGAAGATGCTGGGCCCAAGTCCCTGCCAAGGGCATGGGGCTACTCCCTGCAGCTTCCTACCACCACCTGCCCCCAACCCGGATTCCTTTCCCTGAGCACCTCAGCCTTCCCCGGAGCCTGCAGGCCTCCCCTCCTCCTCAGCCTGTCCTGCGTCAAGGCGAGCCGTCTCCACGTCCCTGTGAGCCCGCTGGATGCTGGGAGGGCTGCTCTCAAAGCCAGGCAGGGGTAAGGGGCCCCCTCAAGCACGCCAGCCCAGCCCCGCTCAGGGGGCCCGCAGAGTTGACTCCCTCCCAGGGGGCAGGATCTGGGATTTCAGAACACTTCCTGCACCCCTACCCCCACCCTGAATCACAGGACCCCCAATGTGCCAGCCTCCCCGGATGAAGACGGGCTAAGGTGTTCTGTGGTGAGAAGACAGGCTAAGGTGTTCTGTGGTGAGAACACCCCACATCCATGAAAAGAAGTCTCTGGACTGGTTAGCAATGTCCATGGGGGGCAGGTTATTGTCATACATCTGCCATGTGTCTTTCCTTATACAGATGGAAAACCAGAGGTATGGACGTCTTGCTGGGTTGGTGGACCTGGGACCAGAAGCCCAGCCTTCACACCCACAGCCCATGTTCCTTCCACAGGGCTTCAGCTGAGAAGAAGAAAAATAATCAAAGCCACTGGATCACTTCATCTGCCCTCCCCAAAGTGCTTGAGGGCAGAGCCTTCCTGGGAGCAGGCCCAGGGAACACCACACTGGGCTCATGCAGGAAAAGACAGGTCCCAGGCCGGGTGTGGGCCGTGTACAGGGGGCAGGGTGGGGGTAGAGATAGCACCGCAGGTGGCCGGGGTGACTGGCGACCGCAGTGGGACCAAGAGACACGATGACTGAGGGAGGGGGGCAAAAGGGGCCTGGCCTGAGGCTCACTGGTGAGACGGGGTGACCGTGGTACCACATGGGGACGTGAAACCAGATGGGCTGGGTATTTTTCAATAAATAATTGTTCATCGGGTCTGGGACTGTGTCAAAGGGAACCTCTAACCAGCCAGCAGCAGAAGGTTCCTGACTTGGGGATGTTGGAGTGAACTGCAGAGGCCACTACTTCTGTCCCCGAGGGGTCAACAGTGGTCAGGAGTGGCCTCCTGGGCTATGCCCGGGAGCTGGGAGCAGTTGCATGTGGAAGATCCTGCCTCCTTGCTTTGATCATCCCGGCTCAGGTCAGGCCCTTGGGTGAGGGTGGGTATGAGGACGGGGGACCCCAGGCAGCTGTCTGAGTTGAACTGGATGCAGGCATGTGGGCAGCTCACACGGGCACCAGGACATACGAGTTACTGCCACAGCTCCGGGGGACATAGCGAAGCCCCTCCACCATGTCCCCTGCCATCTTGCGGGAACAGCCCTGGAGGCTTTGATAGGCAAACATGGCCACACCCAGGCAGAAGAGGAGGCCAAGGAAGGCCAACAGCCCTACTGCCTGCCTCCGGGTAGCTGCCTGGGAGTCGGGGACAGGAGTGATGAGGATACCCAGCCTCTGGGGGTCCACGGTAGCGTGGATGGGCTCCTCAGCCTTGGAGACCCAGCTGCCTGAGGCTACTGGCTCCCTGCTGGGGACACCTGGAGAGGAGACAAGGACTGTGGAGAGATGGGGTGTGTGATCAGGCCCCCTGAAAGCATCCATGTGAGCTGAAAGGGGACTCATCTCCTTGGGCCCTAGAGAGTTCTCTGGTGTGGGATTGTCTCCCTTGATCCACACATGTTGGCCTTCGGGGTCAACCCTGTTCTCTGAGGCTGTGTGTGAAATGGTGGGGGTGTGGGTAGGGGGGGCATGGGTAGGGGGAGCGTGGGTAGGGAGGGTCTGGGTGGAGGGGGCCTGGGTGGGGGGGGCCTGGGTGGAGGAGGCCTGGGTGGCGGGGGTCTGGGTGGAGGGGGCCTGGGTGGAGGGGGCCTGGGTGGAGGAGGCCTGGGTGGGGAGGGCCTCAGATGCCTTTCCCTCAGTCCAGGGGCCCGACCCAGGTTTGTAGGCAGCAGAACTCTGCTGGGACGTTGTGGCAGTGAGGGGAGCAGCGTTGAAAAACTCAGTTTTCTGGGACCCAGCTGGCGGTCCTCCATCCGGAGCCTTTGAAGTGGAGGGGAACCTGGTCCCCCTGGAATCAGCCACTCCCGTTGACAGCTCTGGGGAAGTTCCCGAGGCCCTCTGTGCCTCCTGGCCACTGTTCTCCTGGGTGGATTTGGGCTCTGTGACCGCAGACCTGTCCATTCCCCTGGTGGCTGGGGTGGTCCTGGGCTCACCCACACCAATTTGCTTCTCGAATGTGCCGCCATTTCGAATTGTAACAGCAATCTTGTGTTCTAGATATGCTATGGCTTCCTGAACCCATCTCTCCTCTGGATCAGCACAGAAGATTCTGTTCTGTTTCGTCTTCAAGCTACAAGGAAGGAAAACAGGGACCCAGTGATGCCTAGATGCCATGTGGAGTACAAGCACCGTATAAAAGCTCTGCAGGTGAACAGACCCAGCTGGAATCCTGCTCCCACCACTTATTACCTATTAGCCATGAGCTGTGAGCTGTGAGCTGCGAGCTGATTAGCTCAGGCAGCTTGACTTCTAGAACTTCCGTGTCCTTGCCTGAGAAATAGAGCTAGCATACCTACCCTCTGTAGGGTGACCAGCCTCCCCAGAAGAGCTGGGACTGAGGGGGTCCTTAAGACACAGGGCTGTTGGTGAAAGTCCCAGAAAACTGGGACAAGCTGGTCACCCCACTTCTGTGTTTTTATTAAAAAAAAAAAAGGAAAGAAAAAGAAAATTATGTAAAGCACCTGGCTCTTTAGGATACTCAGAGTAATAGCTGAAAATCATAACAATAATGTCTTCACCATTAAGGCAGGGGGCTCTGGGCTGTGTCTCCTGATTATGGGGGGCTGTCAACAGATGTTCCCTACTGTCAGGTGTGTGACTGGTGAGCTCAGGGGCGGGGCCTCATTTCTCTGGAAAGAGCTGACTCAAATATCTTCTTCCACCACTCCCTTAGTTACAGGCTGCCCCCTGGACCTCTACCTCATAGTGTGTATCATTAGGCTGAGAGCACACTTAGTGAGCTACAGACACATATATGGGGGATCCCATTAGGACTCCTAGTGCCATCCAAATCTTGACCTTCCTCTGACACTTGTGTGTATGTGCCTGACTGCCAAGAACACAGCTCAGAGCTGACTGGGGCTCGTGCTCCACACCACTGGGCTAGGCATTTTGCCATTTAAAACTCCCACCCATTCTGAGAGGTGGCTACCATGACCATCCCCATTTTACAGATGAGAAAACCGAGGCTCAGAGAGGTAATGTGCATGTGCATGGCTCTGGCACGCTGGGAAGCCAGAGAAGTGCAGGAAGCAAGCATGACCCTTCAGGTCCCCACAGGCGAGTGTGACCCAGGGTGGGACCCAGGGCCACACTCCCCTCCCTGGGGTTTCCCACTTCCTCTTTACCTAGAAAACAAAAGCAAAGGGGGAGTCTGTGAGAAGCAAGCCTCAACAGAGGAGAGGAAAGGTCAGGCAGTAGCACCCTTGCCCCTCTTAGCAACTGCATAGTCGGTGGAATGAAGCATGCGACTTCTTTTAGCTGACCCTTCCACTTGGAGAACCTGCCAGCCGTGTCCTGATGCCAGGCCCAAGGGCCAGTCTACAAAAAGGCCTCAAGACTGGGCGACTGGGCGGTACCCAGCAGGGGCCCCAGCAGAGCAAGCAGCCAAAGTGACCAAGGGGGCGGGGAGTGGCTCTGGTTGACCCCTCCCCAAAGTCTCACAGGGATCTTGTTACTTGGGCTGTCAAGTGTGATAATCTCTGCTTTCCTATTGCAGCAGCTTCCAGGCACCTGCCAAGCTGCTTACTTGCATCATTCCCCTTCATCCTCCCAACTACTCATTTTGCAGATAAGGAAAGGAATGCGCAGGGGGTAGGACCACCCCACCTGTGAATGTTGAAGTCAGGATTTGCACCCCATCAGTAAGAGTCTGGAGCCTGTGCTCTGAGACCACAACGCTTGACCTCCCCCAAGAAATCGAGCAGGTTTGAGTACCACTAATACAGACCGCCAGCGGTGGCAGCTCCAAGCCCCGGGCCTTTTGGGAAGCTGCTCCCAACCTTTACCCTGGGGTGCAGATAATGAGGTGAGCGAAGGGCCGGGAGGCCAGGAGCAGGAGAAGCAATTTGCTGAGGCCCTTAGCAGGAGCCCAGATGAAGAGAAAGGATGTGGACAGGGATGAGTAGAAGCCAGAAGGCCAGTACGTACATGATGGCAGGCTTCCCGCAGGACTCTTGATTTCGTTGGTAGTGGACCAGTAAGGCCACCGGGATCTCCGAGGTCATCTTGTTGCAGGTGACGTTGCATTTCTTCACACCGAAGTGCTGTCCTGAGCCCACAGAGGTCCCCAATCAGCAGGACTGTCCAGGGGCATCTGGCTTCCCAGTCCCAAGCCAACTCGTGCCGGCCACACCATCCAAGCCGCAGCTGCTACCCTGCACACCCTCGTCTTCAGGGCCCTTGACTTCAGCCACCCATCCCACCCACCAGGCCACTCAATGCCTCAGTTTCCCCACCTGTACAATAGGGACAATGATAGTATCTACCTCATAGGGATGTTATAAAAATTAATGAAAAAATGAATTCTCACTAATGAAGCTCCTATAGCCTGCTAAACATTGAGGGTTTAATTTTTAAAATTAAGTTGGTGGTGGTCATTGTACACTAGGGAAGACAAGTCTGAGAGTGACAGGGACCTGCCTGAGGTCACACAGCCAGCAAGTGAGGGAACAGGTTCTCATGGGCCTCTAGCTCTGTGCACCCCCCACCCTCCCTCTACCCCAGTAAGTCACCTGCTCAACTCTCTCCCCCCAACCCTCCACCCATCACCTACACACCCTATTCCTTCCTTTCAGGCTGATCTGTATTCATGGATTTCCACGACCTCTGAAGCACACCCAGATTCCTGCCCGCCACATGTCACATGCCCACCCTATGACACATATGTATGCACACACACATATACCAACAAACAGAATGGCACACACATGCCCCACACACAAAACCACAGAAAAGTGTTGATATGATCAGGCCCAGGTAACAGATAAAAAGTGTTAAATGTGTAAGAATAGCCACCTTGCCACCTTCTAAGGAGGCTGGGGGGTGGAGTCCACTGAGTAGGGGATCCTTTGTTCTGCCACGAAGAGCCGAAGAGCCAAGAGCCGTGATGAGTTTGGCAGCAATTGCTGAGGGGAACCAGGGGGCCAGAGTCCCCTGGGCAAGTTAGGGGAGCAGGAGTTAAGGAAGAACAGTAGAGATGGGGGCTGTGCAGGTGGGGGGTGGGCAGAGTGGGATGGCTAGGGGCCTGCCCATGGCATGGAGCTGGGAGAAACCCCAGGACAGGATGGGGTGACCCAACAGACAGTTAAGAACTCAAATATGTTAAAGATTTATTTATTTGTTTTAGAGAGAGAGAGAGAGAGAGAAACAGAGCATGCACATGCACAAGCAGGGGGAGCGGTCAAAGGAGAGGGAGAGAGAATCTCAAGCTGACTCCCTGCTGAGTGTGGAGCCTGATGCAGGGCTTGATGCAGGGCTTGATGTCATGACCCTGAGATCATGACCTGAGCCGAAATCAAGAATCAGACACTTAACTACCCAGGCGCCCAAGAACCCAAATAATTTATATAAATATTTGAAGTTGTTTGTATTGCTTTTTCTCCTTCCTCCTTCCTCTAAAATCTCTGGCAAAAGTTATTCTAGCCTGGTTATCAGCTCAAGAGGGGTTATTAAAAAAACAACAACAAAGAAGAGCTTGAGTTTTAGATCTGGGTCAAGGTCAGATGCAGCAAAAGCAAGACCGCAGAGGATTTTGCAAAATTCTAGAGGTCAGGACTTTCAGGGCAGCGGAGTCCAGAGAGGTGAATGATCTTCTCTAGGCGGGCAGGGCCCGGGAGGCCCCAGCTGATCCTTATTGCCATGCACAAGTAGTTACATGGATGCAGATGTGCAAACATGCTCTGCCTTCCCAAATACAGGTGCAAACACACACATACACACACTCTCCTTCTAGAATATTCTGCTCCTCGCCCATCCCCTCCCCTTAGCCTCAGCCCACCCTGACTGTGGAAGGGTGGTTCAGGGTTTGCAGGGCTGCACTGGCCTGGGCCGTCAAGGGGCAGCATTAGCAACTCCTGGGGTTGGCAGGAAGCACTCCAGTGGCTGGTCCCTAAGTCACAGGCTGCCTTTTCTCTCTGAGGAACCAGGATGTGAAAGTTACCTTGCTGCCTGAACACCTGGCTTCTCCAACACCCCCCCCCCCAACCCCAGGGGACTTTGGAATGACTAAACTGCATACTCCCCAGGCCCTGCTGAATAGAGCCAGGAAGCAGCTCCGTGCATTGGCCTGGCAGGTGTCTTCCTGAGGAAGCTCCCCAAAACAGTGCCCTTAGGTCACTTGGAGCCAGGGGGAGGCTGCCATTGGGCAGAAGGGTGAAGCTAGGTATTAGCCAGTCTGCTCTCTTGGCCCTATATCCCAGGGTGGAGAAGACCACTGCTTACTTCCAGGGCTTTACAGAGTCACAAAGTCAGCCTTTTCCCCGTTGTCCCCACCCTCTACCACAGTGTCTGCATGCCCTTGGCCAGGCTCTGTTCTTGGTTTCACATGGGAATGGCTGTGTAACCAACTTGAGGGGGGTCTTCTTGTCAGAAGTTTTCTCTTCTGTAATTGGAGATAGTGCTTCCAGCCGGCCAGCCATTTACTGCCACATGAGTTTCAGAAGGCAGGGACCTTGTCAGTTTTAGTGTCACAGTGCTTCCCAGCACAAAGTGGATACTCAACCAATATTCATTAAATGTCTCATTCTACTTATTCCTTCACCTATCTCTCTATCTGCCCATCCATCCATCCATCTATCTATCCATTTCCTCATTCAGCCAACATCTGTTTGAATTACTTTTGAGTATCTATAAAGATCCAGGTACTCTTTACTCTTATCCTTAACCCTGAGCTTTTTCTCCCATTGGTACTGGTGCTGAGCTTAGAGAGTACATCCCAATAAACACCATCAGCTTGCAGCGTTTATTCAGTCAACCAAAAAACACTGACGTTCCCTCTTCCCTGTGCTGGGTGCTGTAAGGCATAGTGAGATGGAGGCCTGTCTCTGCCCTCACAAGGTCTCAGCCTGAAGGGCACCCAAGACAGGCCCACAAAGTGCCAGAGCTTAGCTTAAGTGAACACCTACTGTGTACTGGACTATGTGCTTAGCACACGCACACCTGTTCTCATTAATTCCCAAGATCTCTGCAAAAGGAGTATTATTACCCCCATTTTATTGATGCAGAAGCTGAAAATCAGAGAGGTTAAATGACTTTCTCAAAGCCACACAGCTGCTTCGTGGCAGATCTTATTTCCTCCCCAACCTCTAGACATCTCATTGTTCTAAATAGACTTAAACACCAGGCAGAAACACCATGTTCCAGAATATACCCCCAAACATGCCGAGATTTGCACAAAGGAGAGACCACCTCCCACTGCAAGTAATCAAGGGAGGCTTCTTGGAGGAGGTATTCTTTAGGCTGGACCTCAAGGACTGCTAAGAGGCTTACAGACAGGAAAAGGCAAGAATGTTCTGGGTCTCTCTCTCTCTCTCTCTCTCTCTCTCTCTCTCTCTCGGCAAGGTGATAGAGAGAGATCTTGAGCCAGGTATGTGTCCTGGACAAGTCACTTAGGCTCTCTAAGCCTCAGTTCCCTTACCTGTAAAATGGACATGATAATATCTATTTCACAGGGTGGTTGTGAGAATAAAGATGTTTAAACATCTGGACCCTTACAGTAGGATTTACTTGACAGTAACACCACTGATGTTTTGGACCAGGTAACTCTTTGTTTGGAACTGTCTTGTGCCTGTAGGACATTTGCCATCACACCCGGCCTCTACCCACTAAATTTCTGAGCATCCCCCAACCCAAAATGTTGGGACATCTGTAATAACAAAAACGTCTCCAGAAATTGCCAAATGCCCCCTGGGAGGTCAAATCACCCACTGAGAACCATTGCCTTAGAGATACCCACACCTTCCTCAATGTCCCCTTCTCCAAGAACCTTCTCTGACCCCTACTTAAAATTTCAACACCTCCCCCTGCAACCCCTAGTCTCCATATACTTTTTAAAAATCTCAGCCTATTTTTGTAACAGACTAAACTGTTTACTAATTTATTTTTTGTATCATCTTGTCTTCCCCAGTTGGTGTTCGGCACTCCGAGGTCTGGAATCTTTGGCAGCTTTATTCATTGATGTGGCCTCAGCACCTACAACAGTGCCTGGCACATTGTTGATGTCCAATAAATATTTGTTCAGTGAATGAGCAAAATGCACAAAGAAGCACTTTGTGACATTAAAATTGTAACCAATGAAGAAATAGAGGAATTTTTATTTAAATTCCACAGGGGCCTGGATCTGATGCTCTGAATTTATCCTCCCCTGCCTTCCCCATCCGCCCCCACAGCTAATCAGGAGGCAGACTACAGCAGCTTAAAACAGATTTTTTTTTTCCCTCTTTCTTGCTGGGGCTTGAGTAGGAGTGAATGCGTCAGTGCTCGGGGAGAAAATTCTCTGCTCTGACTTGTATCTGCAGGTTTGTTATATAAAGCAGAGGAGCCTCACGCCTGACACAGCCCCGCAAGCCCACATTTGGGGACTGACCTAGCTGCCCTGCGCCAGCTCGAACAGCAGCCACCGCACCGGAACCCCAGAACCCCTTGGGGGCCTCTCCGACTTCAGGACTCCCTCTAGTCCTGCAGGGGCTCCCGGGAGGTCTCTCAGAGCCACAGACCACAGTGTGGGTGAGGACCTCCAAGGTGGGCCTGGCCAAATGCCAGGAGGAAGGGGTAAAACTGAAGCTCACAGAGGTTGAAATAGTGTGTGTCTTCCAGCAAAGTCAGTGACCAAGATTAGGGCAGAAACCTGATTAAAGCCTCAGGTTAATAAACTGCGTCCAGCACCCCCCCCCATCCCCCTTGCACCCACTGCCAGGCTATAAGTAATCTTCCTCCTCCCACTGCCAAAACGCTCTCATAGGCTTTGAAGCCCCTTCTCATCAGAGGCAATAGCTATATTTAAAGGTACAGTAGCTGAGCCCAAAGAAGGCAAGACCCCATTCTAGGTCATGGCTATGGCAAAGGCACCTCCATCTGTGTTTTCTAGTGCTCACTACCTCTAAACACGCCTGGCCTCAGGGTTTAAGGCCAGAAAGCAAGAGACCAGCAGCCCCTGGCTTCTGCTACACCCCCACACCTGCTCCCTGGCCTGCTGGTTGGTTTCCCCCACATAGAGGGATTTGAAAGGCAAGGCAGTGTGTTCCATTGGAGTGTCCTGGAAGCTTGAGACCTTTTTCATTCTCCCAGGCTTGCTGTGTGCCCCAAGGCAGGCTCCTAGCCTCTCGGAGCCTCAACCTGCCAGATAATGTGGCTCAGAGTTCTCAGAGGCCATGTGGCCCACAGAGGTGGTAAGCATGCAGCCATGCTCCCTCCTGCCCTACTTGCTGGCTACGCATTCTCAGGCCAGTTTCTAAACCTCCCTGGGCCTCCATCGTGATCACGTCGCAGGTGTGACTGCATCCTGCCCTACCAGGTCCCGGGCTCCAGGGAGCAGGTACCTGGATGTGAAAGCAGTTTCTAAACTGTGCTTGGAGGAGGAGGACAGTAGCATGGCCGAGACACAGGCAGAGGGATGGGCGCTACAGACCAGAGCAGCAGCAACAAACCCAATCTGTGATCTGCAATGACCTTGGTCTCTACTGGTCCTGGGCCCCCTACTCAAAATCGGGGCTAGGAGAAAATCCTGTGACTTGAGACTCAGGAGTCTGGAGCTTCCGGTTACACATGAACCCCGGGGAAGGGAGACCCAGCCCACTGTCATCCAGGGCTTCCTACCCCAGTGCCCAGGGGGAACCTCCTCAAGCTCCCTGTCCCCCCAACACCCCCTTTGTGCCTGGCTCCCTCGTGCCACCCGCACCACATCACTGCACTGCCAAGCAGTAGCCACCTGGCTCACTGGGCCAGGCGGCCAGGCTCCGGAGACGGGCAATCTTCTAGCGGCAGGGGCAGCCCCGAATCTGGGGTCAGGGAGGAGCCCGTCCCCCACCTTTGGAAGGGGCTGCTGTGGACCTTACCCAGTGGGGGCGACCCCCCCATATCAGGCCTGAAGGGCAGAAGGGGGGCGGGGGCTCCCCTACCTAGCTGCTGCAGGAGGCCACCCCACTCACCGGCCAGCAGCGCGGTCAGATGGCAGAGGGCAGCCAAGCGGAGCAGCCACGGGAGAGGTGGAGGAGCCATGGCTGGGGGCGCCGGGCTCGCGCGGTTCCCTCGCTGTCCCCTCGCCACCGGAGCTCAGTCGCTTTTATGATGGCTTTTTATAATGGGGCTTGCTGCCTCTGCCTCCGCCTCCAGCCCCGCAGCAGGCGGGCGGTGGGAGGGGAGAGGAAGGGAGCCCGTGTGCAGGCTGGATTCCTCGGGATGTTGCCAAGGAACCGGCGGCGGGCCGGGCGGGGGCGGGGCGGCTGGGCCCAGCCCCAGGCCTTCACCCCCCTTCTCTCCAGCCTGTGTCCCCGCTACCTACCCCCGAGCTGGCACCTGGCCCAGCCCTAAGTGGGCAGCACAGGGTAGAGAGTGTGGCTGCCAGCAAGCCAGGGGGTACTCGGGGCCCTAGGGCCTGGGAGAGGTATCTCTCCCACATCATGAAGGACCCCCAGCCTTTCCTCCTTGAAGCCCCAGGTCCTGGGGGGCCTCATTCACCAGTGTATCCCCGAGCTCAGCCCGGAGCCTGCCAAACAGTGAGCGCTCAAGTCCAGTCAATGTTTGCTGAAGGAATGATCCAGCCCAATTTCACAGCGACAGATAGGGAAACTGAGGCCCAGAGAGAGGGTGGGGTCATCTCAGGTCATTCAGAGCACTAGGTTTAGGGGACAGACCAGATGCACCCAGGGGCGGGTAACAGTTTAGGATGCAGAAAAGAGCCCAGGCGCCCCTGCCTCCAGCTCCTCTACCTCTCCTTTCCTCCTGCACACCACTGCCATGGCTCTGGCCCCTGCAAGGAATGTCGTGGCTGCTGGCCTCTTCTGGGTAACTTGGTGCCTCTCGACTTGTCCTTGACTCCACAGGGGCCCTGGGGAAGTCCTGCCTCTCTTGGGGGCCCCAGTCCTCCCTCTGCACAGGAGAGAAGTGGGCTCACCCACTGGGGAGGGAGCTTCACAGCTCTGACTTCTCAGCTATTCTCCATTACCGGTGGGCCAGCAGGACCAGGCAGGACCAGCCTGCGCCCACCAGACAGGTGGAAATGCTTGCAGGTGTCGCTACAGCACAGTCTGCTTTAATGGCAGCCTTCTGTGAAGACAATGGCCACAATCCCTGAGACTCCAAGAGTCTAGCAGTCGCCTAGCCCAGCCTGGTGCCAGGAGTTAACCATGAACCCACCACTCCCATCTAGGTGTCTCTGGCTACCAGCCAGCCGGAAACCAATGTGTCTGTGAGCCACTGCCCCGGGCTATGGAGCCAACTGGTTTATTCTGGGCTGGGCAGAAAGGTCTCAGCTCCTAAGGCCAGAGGTCCACTCTCTCACCCAGCACAGTAAGACTGCTGGGGTGTGCAGGTGAGAGGCTGGACACTCCTTCTCAATGGAGAGGAGCAATGGTGGCATGGGCCAATTGCCCTCAGTCTCCGAGAATCTGTCCCAGCCCATGAAGATATAAAGCAAGTGACCTTCACATTTCTATTGTCCAGTTCCTGGTCTTTTTTTTTTTTAAGAATTTATTTATTTATTCATCAAAGACACAGAGAGAGGCAGAGACACCGGCAGAGGGAGAAGCAGGCTCCATGCAGAGAGCCAGATGCAGGACTCGACCCCAGGACCCTGAGGATCATGACCTGAGCCAAAGGCCGACTCTCACCCACTGAGCCCCCCAGGGGTCCCCAGCCCCTCATCTTATAGCTGGGAAAACTGAAGTCCAGCAAGGGACAGGATGTGATAAGAACTGAAGTCCAAGGTTCTTTCTGCTCTGCCCATGGAGGTAGGAGCTGATGAAGAAGAGGGCAAGAGGGAAGGAGAGAAAGAAGAGAGGGAGTAAGGAAAGGGCTGCAGGAAAGGGAGGGGTGAAGGGAAGAGAAGGTGAAAGAGGCAAGGGGCAAGTCCTGGGAAGCCCCACCCTCATAAATGACAAAAGCCAGGCTGAGCCAGGGATTTGGAGGGTTAAGACCCTTGTTCCCCTGGCCCCAGACTTTGCTCCAAAGAAATATTTAGAAAGCAAAGGTTTTGGAATCAGATGGTCCTGGCTCTGGCACTCCTTTGTGATCTTGGGCAGCTTCCCTACCTGTCTGAGTTCACACTCTGAGACAGGCTCTGTTTTAAGCACTTTGTATGATTAACTGAGGCCACCGAGACCTGACCTGTAAGCAAAACACCACTATCACGGTCCATTTTATGGATGAGGAAACTAAGGAATGCATGAAGTAAGTAATTTTCTGAGGATCACCAACCAAGAAGTGGGGGAATCTGGCTTTGCCACAGCCCATTGGCCTTGGAGTCTGAGCTCATGACCACAAGGCTACACCACCTCCCTTCATCCCCACCATGAGGACAGTTGAGAACTAAGTGAGTTTATGCCCATATGGTGTCAAAACATAAAGTACAACTGTGCTCTTCCTTGTTCAGCCCTTGGGGACATCCCCTACCCCCTTCTGGCCCACCTCCTCCCCCCACAAAGTTGGAGTGGTCAGCCCCACCTAGCTTATCAAGGTGTTAAGGACTGAGTTTAGATTATTCATTTTGGACACAGTAACTTGGCTTTCGGGTCAGCCAAGGCCTAGAGCCAAATGTGACTCCACTACTTAGGAGAAGGTTCACCTTTGGCAAGTCACTTAACCTCTCTGAGCCTCAGCTTCCCCATCTGTAGAATGGGATGCTAATAGCCACTTCATCCACTCATTCACTTGGGGGGAGGGTCCATAAAACTGATGACTTTCACAGTGCCTGGCATGCAGAACCCCTTAGTTTTTGCTGTTAAGCCCTGGTATGTGCCTGGCACCATGGTTGAGACCAGAGACTCAATGGCAAATACAATGGGTTCTTGCTCCAAGGAGCTCCAGCTCAACAGGAGAGAGCAGTCCTACCAGAGACTCGAAGGCTGTGGGTCTAGGAGAGGGACAGAGGCCTTTATTCTTGTCCAGAAATCAAGGTAACAAAGAGTGAAAGATGATGTTTTGATCAGAAGATGGGCAGAATTTTGCTTTCTTTCTTTTATGCTATTATTTCAGAAATTCCAAACAGAGGCAATTGGGTGGTTCAGTTGCTGAAGCATCCGACTCTTGATTTGAGCTCATGATCTCAGGGTCCTGGGATCAAAACGCATGTCGGGCTCTGTGCTGGGTGTGGAACCTGCTTGAGATTCTCTCTCTCTCTCTCTCTCTCTCTCTCTCTCTCTCTCTCTCTCTCCCCTCTCCCCCACTCTGCCCCTCCCCCCTCCCTGCTCATGCATGTGCCCTCTCTCAAAAAAAAAAAAAAAAACCTAAAAAATTAAAATAAGGCAGCCAGGGTGGCTCAGCAGTTTAGCGCCGCCACCTTCAGCCCAGGGTGTGATCTTGGAGTCCCGGGATCGAGTCCCGCATCAGGCTCCCCGCATGGAGCCTGCTTCTCCCTCTGCCTGTATCTCTGCCTCTCTCTCTCTCTCTGTGTCTCTTATGAATAAATAAATAACAATAAAATAAAATCTTTTAAAAAATTAAAATAAACTTTAAAAAATCATAAACAATAATTCTAATTATTAGAATGAATGAATGGAATGGAGCAAAGACCTTTCCTTTCTCTGGCACTTAAATTCAATGATTAGTATTTTCCCCTATTTGCTTTGTTCTGTTTTTTGTTTTTGTTTTTGCCAAGCCATTTCAAAGCAAATCGCCCCTAAAGCCTTCAGCATGCATCTTTATAGTCTAAAGACACACTGTTGGGGTACCTGGGTGGCGCAGTGGTTGAGCAGCTGCCTTTGACTCAAGGCATGGTCCCAGGGTCCTGGGATCGAGTCCTGCATTGAGCTCCCCACAGGGAGCCTCCTTCTCCCTCTGCCTGTGTCTCTGGCTCTCTCTGTGTGTCTCTCATGAATAAATAAGATCTTTAAAATAATAAAGACACACTGTCTTACATAAATAGACTAACAAAATTGGGGTGCCTGGGTGGCTCTATGGTTGAGCATCTGCCTTTGGCTCAGGGCGTGATCCCAGGGTCCTGAGATCGAGTCCCACGTCAGGCTCCCTGCATGGAGCCTGTTTCTCCCTCTGCCTATGTCTCTGCCTCTTTTGTTGTGTCTCTCATGAATAAATAAATAAAATCATTAAAATACATGTATACTAACAAGATTAAGAATCACTCCTATATGTTGTGTAATACTCAGTTAATAATCAAATTTCTCCATTGTCCCCAAGATGTATTTTATAGGTTCACCATCCTTCTTTCCTTCTTTCTCTGTCTCTTCCTCCTTCCTTTCCTTTCCTCCTTTTCTCTTACTTTTATTTTTTGAACCAGGATCTTATCTAGGTTTATGCCTCGCAGATGACATTTCCTTTCAGTCTACAACAGACCTCCTGCTCATTTCTCATGGCATTGCCTTTCTGAAGAGTTTCAAGACTGTTGCCACTGTCCATTCTTAATTTATCTAAGTGGTTTCCTTGTGATGCCATATAATTCATTCTCTGAACCCATGCTCTTCCTATAAACCAGACTTAGATCCACAGACTTGATTAAATCCTGGCTACATATTCTTGGCAAGAATCTGGTGCGAATAATATTCTGTACTTCACCTTGCATGGCAGACGGGTTGTTCTGCTGTTCGTGGTGTGTTGATGGGCAGCCAACCCTACCTCTCTTGCTGGAGAAATGGTAACACCTCTACGATTTGTAAGTAACCTGCCCTGTGCAGACAGGCAGGATTTTGATATATTGTTCCAGGCAAAGGGAAAAACCTAACCAAGGTAAAGAGGGAATTGGGGACTGGTCTGAGGCCTTTGGCTTTGAGGAAGAAGTGGGCAGGGAGGCTGCCGTTGGATGCGTGGAATCTAGAGTGAAGAATGAGAGTCCTGTATGGGGGTAGAGGGGAGCTGGGGAGGTTCTGAGCTGAGGAATAACTAGAGCAACAATCAGAACAGCACGGGGCAGCAAGAGAAAGGGTTTCCTTGGGGATTGGTGGAGAGGAGGGGTCAGGGCATCCCTGCCCATGCCTTCCTGGGGCCATCTTCGAGCCTCCCTCGGTGCCCTAGGGAGCAGGAACTCCCCTGGGCCCCAAAGCAGAACGGAAACTGTTGTAGGGAGCAGGGCGGGGAGCCAGGGGCACTCCTGTGAGACCCCAGGATGGTAGGAGGGACAGGGTGGCCAGTGAGGTAGCCACCTCCAGGGCCCCTGGGGAACAGTGCTGCCTACTTCTTCCTCATCTCACCCCACTTCTTTTAGTCTATAAGAAGAGCTGCTCACAGGCACTTGGCCCTTCCCCTGTTTGTGCACCTGCCTGGCCACACCTTCTTTTATACTGTGATGAAATATCCATATCCTCAAATGTACCTTTTTAACCATTTCCAACTGTTCAGTTCAGTGACATTAAGTGCATTCACAGCATCATGCAACCATCACCACCGTTCATTTTTAGAACTTTATTATCTTGCAAAACTGAAATGTGGGACCCATCAAATAATAACTCCCTCTTCTTCCTCCCATCCTAGCCCCTGGAAGACCCCAGTCTACTCTGTCTCCATAAGTTTCACTACTGTAGGAATCCTACAGTATTTTTCTGTGACTGGCTTATTTCATTTATCATAATGTGCTCAAGGTTCATCCAGGTTGTAGCAGGTGTCAGCATTTCCTTCCTTTTTATGGCTGAATAATATTCCATTGTGTGGGTATTCCATGTTTTGCTTCTCCATTCACCAGACATTTGGGTTGTTTCCGCCTTTTGGTTATTGTGGGGAATGCGGCTATGAACACAAATGTACAAATATCTCTTCAAGTCCCTGCTTTCAATTCTTTTGCATATATCCCCAGAAGTAAGATGCCTGGATCATATGGTAATTCCACATTTATTTTTTTTGAGGAACCACCATACTATTTTCCACAGTGATTGCTCCATTTTATACTCTCACCAACGATGCACAGGGGTTTCAATTTCTCCACATGCTCACTAATCTTGTTCATCTTTTCTTTTTTTGAGATTTTATTTTTAAGTAATCTCTACACCCCACATGGGACTTGAACTTACAGCCAAGATCAAGAGTCATGCTCCATTGTTTGTCTTTTTTTTTTAAGGTTTTATTTTTATTTATTTATTTGACAGAAAGAGAGAGAGAGACCGTAAGAAGGGGGAACGGCAGGCAGAGGCAGAGGGAGAAGCAGGCTCCCCGCCATGCAAGGAGCCCAATGCAGGACTATGACCTGAGCCAAATGCAGACGCTTAACCTACTGAGCCACCCAGGTGCCCTGTTGTCTTTTTTATAAGAATCATCCTGATGGTTGTGAAATGGTATCACATTGTGGTTTTGATTTGCATTTTCCTGGTGATTGTGATGTTGGGCATCTTTGCATGTGCTTGTTGACTATTTGAATATCTTCTTTGGAGAAATATATATTCAAGCCTTTGCCCCTTTTGTTATTAGGCTGTCTGTACCTTCTTATCTCACTGGATTCTCACCACCCCATACACTGATATCTGCTTTTATTGTTCTCTGTTCACAGAGGGAGAAATTGAGGCTCATAGACACCAAGCAACTTGCTCCAGACACCCAGTCAGTGAGAGTTCTGTGACTGAATCCACGACATATGCCCTTCTCGATACTTCTCCCTGCCTCTTGGTGTCTGAAGCTATTGCCCTGGAAATCCCACTGTGAGAGCCAGATCTGAACAGGAGCAAAGGTCACTTGTGCCAAGATGTCTATGGAGCGATATTTAAGCTGGCATAATAAAGATGTCCCAAGGACAGAGGAGTCCTCTTTTGTTGTTTTGACAGAATGAGCTATGTCTAGAACTCTAGGAAAGCGGGCCCATTTGAGAGTCCAGAGAAGTTCGCACCACATGAACTAGATGCTCCCCAAACCCACTCCCTCTTTCTCCCAGACACACAGCTTGGCTGTACTTCCTGGCTTCCCCGTGGTCAGGGTGGCCATGTGACTGAGTTCTGCCAACGGCAGGTGGACCGAAGCCAGGAGCCCCACTTCCTGGCCTAGCTCCATTCTTTTTTTTTTTTTAAGATTTTATTTATTTATTCATGAGAGACACACAGAGAGAGGCAGAGACACAGGCAGAGGGAGAAGCAGGCTCCCTGCAGGGAGCCCGACGTGGGACTCGATCCCGGATCTCCAGGGTCACGCCCTGGGCTGAAGGCGGCGCTAAACCGTGGAGCCACCCAGGGATCCCCCTGGCTCCATTCTCTTTCCCCATGTGCAGGATGATGGAGAGGAGTCCAGGCCCTGGGGGATGGTGAGGCCATGAGAAGGAAGGAGACTGGGTCCCTGAATGACCACAGACCAGGATCAGATGTCACTTGAGAAGAAAAAGCTTGTGTGGAATTGAACCACTGAGATTTTGGAGTTGTTTGCTGCAGGAAGCAGCCTTTCCTGACTAATACACCCTCCTCCTCCTCCTCTGTGTTGACACTTAAAAGGGGAAAGGTTGAGGCTGGGTTGTTGAATCACTGAATGAAGGAGTGAACATTCTACCTAAAACTCTAGAGGACTGAATGAGTGATTTCATCGGGTCCTCCTGACAAGAGGTTTGTCAGGGGCCAGAACTGATGTACAAATATCTGGGGTTTGGCACCCACACAGCTACTCCCCAGGTCCTCATGTCTCACCCTGGCTCCCCACCACCTCCCAGGGTGACCTTGGGCAGGCCAGCTCCCATGTCAGTAATGTTAAGGGCTTCCCCATTGGGATGTGGGGTGGGGGGAAAGGCGTCCCCTGCCCCATACCGGGACAGCATATGCCACGAAACCAAACAGATACGGTTGTAGAGGTTTTATTATTTCAGGAGGCCTGAGAGAGAAGGGCAGGACAGGAGCAGTGGTGGTGGTGGGGATCCCAAGATGCTTGAGGGCCCTGTGCATGGGCAGCGAGCAGGTTAACACTTGCAGTGTCCATGGTGGGCAGATGATCCTGGGCTCCAGGGAAGACACTAAGTTTTATTCCCCATGTCTTGGACCTGAGCCCCACAGCGACCCCTTAAAATGGGTATTCTCATTCTCAAGTGAGGCTCAGAGAGGTTCAATGATCTTCTCAGAACACACAGCGATAACCACCCTGCTGAACTGCCCCAAGCTTCCTCGGTAAGAAACAAGCACATTTAAAGGCTATTTCTTTTGCCTGGTGAATCTATTGTCCCCAAGTAAGTGCAGATAATCCTCAATCCTAGTCCTTATGCTGACCCCTGCCACCTGAGAACAATCTCCACCTAAGGCTCTTTCACTTAACTATGCCCTGCACAGTCCCAGGGCCAGAAAGTTTCCACCTTGTCCCCCTCCCACATAGTTCCTAAAATTCTTCCACTCAACCACTTGGCCTCTTAAGCATTTGCCCTCTTTTCCTATAGAAATACAGCTAGAGCCTGTTAATATCAAGCCAAGGGTAGTCATTTACACCATAGTAAAAATTCAGTTACTGGTTATTTGGGAAAGGAGAAAGGAAAAGTGGGGGACTCTGAAGGGGTCAGGCCTGGGTGTTGGAGGTTGAAGGAGTCGTCAAGACCAGAGGGAAACAAAAAGAGTAAAGAGATCCAATGCATAAATAAAATGGGGAAGAAAGGTGAATCTGGCTTCACAGTTGACTCAGCAGGCTGCTTTCTAGATGAACTCGAGTCTCCGTAATGATGCGTGAGGGCTTTTGGTGGGTGGGGGTGGGAGAGGAACATTGCTTTTATTGATTCAGTCTGTAGCCATCTGTTGAGCCCTGATTCTGAGCCAGCCCCTGTGCTCTGTACTCTGTGTTAGAGGCCAGGAGACAACGTAACTCAGGCATGGGACCTTAGTCCAACCAATGGGGCTGGATGACAGGCCTCCAAGTTCTGAGAGTTCTGGACAGACTGTGATCAGGGCTGTTAAGTGGGAGCAGAGGGTGAGGGGACATCTGAAAAATAAAACTCAATGGCTGGCTGCCTGGGATGCACGATACCTTGGAGGGCCTGGAGGGTTGGACATGTGCAGGTGACAGGGATACATTCCGGGCATCAGAGGAGTCTGGAAAAAGACCTGGAAGTGGAAATGTTTGGCCTGGGTTTGGAGAACAGGGAGCTGGAGTCCAACATGTGTGAAGGGAAGTAAGGCAGGACTGGAGACTAGGGTGCCAGGCTCCGGAGCTTTCACCTCAGCTTGGGGCAATGGGGAGCCATCGGATGGTTTTGAGTCAGGGGGTGACTGACCAGGATTGTGGCCTCTCTGGCTATGGCGGGGCAGAGGACAGGTTGGAGGGAGACAAGTGACAGTGTGGAAGCTCGTCTGAGGGTGACAGCTTCAGGGACAGAGACAAAAGATGGCAGAGAGATTTGTTGGCATAGGCTTGTGTTGCAGGGCAGCTGTAATGGCCAGGAGACGGGGCTCTCCGAGCCTTCCTGGTGGAGCCAAGGCCATGGTCTTCAGGGCAGGCCCTTCCTCATGGGTCCAGCTTCTGGAGAAGCTTCTTCACCCAGGGCAATCTGGGGTCAGCACAGATCTCCCGATCCTTGACAGTTAGGAAGCTGGAAGGAGGAAGGAATTAGGGAGTGTTAGCATGCAGCAAGGATGCCACAGCCCTTCTCTGGAAGCTTAGCATTTATGAGTCACTTACTGTATGCAGAGACGCCCACTATACAGTCGCTTAGCATTTATGAGGCACTTGCCCTGTGTAGGAGTACCTGCTATATAGAGTGGTTCAACATTCATGAGGCCCCTGCTGTTTGCAACCACACTTCTTCAGGGGAGGAGAGGGGAGAAAGAACAGCTAAGACTTCCTGGACTCTCAGTTCCTCAGCCCCAGGCTTGAGTGCCAGGTCAGGCCAGGGAATAAGATGCCCAGGAGTCTCATGACTATTGCTGGCATTGCCTTGGGAGAGAGAATATTGGGTAGTAGCCAAGAGTGTGAATTTTGGAGTCAACCTATCTAGGTTAAAATCCTAGCTTGAAAAAAAAAATTAAAAAAAAAAATAAATAAAATCCTAGCTTGTCCGTCACTGGCAAGTCTGTTCGTTTCTCATTCATAAAAAAGGGATGATAATTGGGGTCCAACCTCATTCTCATTCATAAAAAAGGGATGATAATTGGGGTCCAACCTCATAGGATTTGAATGAAGGTTAGATGAGTTAAGATAAACTGAAGTGCTCAGAACAGTGCACAACAGTGAGTAGTGCTCTGTAACAGCACCAGAAGCTGGCCCAAACTTTTAACAATGATGTTCTTAATAAATCTTATGAGGCCCTATTAGTCTACCCATTTCACAGGTGAAGAAAGTGAGGCCCAAAGGGGTAAAGCAGCTTGCCTGAGTGCCAGAGGTGGTAAGATGTGATTCACTGTGCCTCCTGGGGGCCTGAAGGACAGAGAAGGGAGGTAGGCACTGACCTAGGTGCACACAGCAAAAGCGGGCTAAGACTCCTGCCCTAGCCCAAGGTGTGTTAAGTACCAGGCTAGGCTCCTGGCTCACTCTGTCTCAGCCATTGTTGGCAGGAGCGGACTTAAAGCTGGCCAAGGTCAGAGATATCCCCACAGCCCAACTCCCTTCCTGCCTCTTGAGAGCCTGTCCACGGGGCCTGGAAGCTCCGGCACCCCTTGCCCGTCTGACCTGCCCCCACTCCACGGCAACCAATGAACAGAAAGTACAAAGAAGGCAGCAGTGTTGATCTTGGCCACGTAGGCAGCCTGCCCTGGCTGCTGTGTGACACTGGGCAAGACTCAGCCCCTCTCTGAGTCCCTCAGTTCCTCAGCCTGCCTTTGTCAAGACACATTTTTTCCAGAATGGCTCAAAATCTAGTAATCACAGGAGCTGTCTTCTACTGAGCATCTATTATATGCCAGACACTGAGCATTACACCCTCCACTTACTATTAGTGTACACCATGCTGCTCAAGAGGTCCCATAACCTCCCTGACCCCCTTTCTTCACCTGTCAAAAAGGGATCATAGCAGTACCTACAACATAGGGTTGTTTCAAGGATTAAATGAGTTAATAACTATAAAGTGTTTATAACAGTGCCTAGCACTTAGCAAGCACTCTTCACATGTTTGATAAAAAAAAATAAATGAAGGAGGGGAGCCAGACAGGCTTGGCTGGAGGAGCATGAGACTCTTGATTGCGGGGTTGTGAGTTCGAGCCCCACATTAGGTATAGAGATTCATTAAAAGTCAAATCCTTAAAAATAGATAGATGATAGATAGATAGATGATAGATAGATGATAGATAGATAGATAGATAGATAGATAGATAGATAGAGTGAGTTGACCACTGCTGTTATACTGATGGGAGAACTGAGGTTCAGGGTTGAAATGATACAAACTCATTTCAGCCCTCTTTGTTATTCACCCACAGACCCCTGTGAGGGATGGATGATAAGTAAGGAGGAGGAAGATAAGAAGATGATGGAAACCCAAAGGGGACCATGAGGCCCCAGGCCCAGACACCCCAGTGAGCGGGTTGGCAGGTGGCAGTCTGGAGGATCTGGAGCAGCAGCCGGAGGGGCTGCCCCCAGGACAGGACATCACCCTGCCAGTGGCAGGCACCGGCCCAGGCTCCAGGCCAAGGAAAAGAAAGCAAAGATGTGGGGGGAAAGAGGCAAAGAAGAACAGGAACCACAGGAGAAAGCCCTGAACGGGGACCCAGGAGTCCTGGTTCCAGCGGGCCAGGCTGGAGCAAACCACTTCCCCTCCCTGCACCTGTATCTCCATCTGCAAAATGCAAATGATCACACTCCTCACACTCTGCACTCCCTGTGGGATGTAGGACGGCTGTGAGGGTTACCCCAGTTTGCACAGTAGGAACCACGCGTGGCCATAGAATGTACTCGCTGTTAGCTCAATATTCATCGGGTAAGAATGGGCTGCCTCGAAAAACTCCCAGGGCGCTGGGGAGGATTCCAGATGCTTCCGGTGGGAGCGTTGCTGCTGACTCAGAGGTTCTGGGCACGCTGCCGGTCGCCTGCACCCCACTCTACAGCTCTGCACTGCCCACACGCACTCTACCGTGTGTACTGACAGCCGGTGCCCAGCTCATTCAGCTCCGCAGCACACCACCTGGCACCCGGTGGGCACCCAATGATATTTGTTGAATGAGCACACGATTGTTTTTGCTTGGTACACCCAAGCCTGGGCTGAGCTGTTTCCAGGATGGAGGTCAGCTGCACTCCTCCCGTCCCTGGGTCTGCCCCCCCACCTGCTCCTGGGCCTTCCTGGCCCAAACCTGGCAGGCTCTCCAAGGCAAGGCCCTGTCTCCCCAGCTCATACTCACACCACACCAGGCCTCCGGCAGGAGTCTGAAGTCCAGTAGAAATACTTCAGCATACGCAGGGGCAGAGGGTGACGGATGTAGTCCCGGCAGCAGATACTGTCTTCCACGTTGGCACCATAAGGACCTGCAGGAGTGAGGAGCTCAGAAGATTCTGGGCTCAGACAGGTCGCCCTCAGCCCCCAACCTCTGAGCGAGCACTTCTATTCTCATTTGGAAGTTTGGTGTTGGGGGAAGCTCTGGGTCCTCAAAGTCCTCACTCTTGGGGTCTCCGAGGAGCGTTGAGGCCCAATCTGGGTGAGGCAGCTCGAGGTTAGAGGGATTCACAGGGCCTGAGAGTGGACGAAGCCCTAGGCTTCTCAGTGGGACCCGACACTCTGCACAGGAACGGGCTGTACGCTCCACGGTGAGGTCGGCGCCGGCGGCAGCACCCGGAGCTTGTCGGTATTGCCCGGTGCCCAGCCCCAGCCCCGCTGGATCAGCCGCGCTTGACGGGTCCCCAGGCCATCGGAGAAGTCGGCCTCAGCTCACACCTACTCCAGGCTTCATGGTGCCCATGGGAGAGGCTGAGGTCCGGAGAGGGGGAGGGCTTCCCCACAGTTATAAACCCTGAGTCTGGAGAGTCAGGGTAAGGACTCGAGCAGAGTCCAGTTGCGTAGCCCTGGGTTTGAGCCCTGCTCTGCGCCAAGTCACCAGGCCACCGTGGGGAAGTCACTTAACATCTCTGAGGCCCGCTTGCCTCCTCCAACCAGAGGGGTGATGATAGTACCAAATCAGTGGGGGCCTCAATGCAGGGAAAGCTCCCAGGAAACCCCCAAACTGAGCAATTATTGTTCCTAGCTGCCTGACTCCTGACCCAACACAGGGTAGGAGGATTTATGCTGCGATGGTGAAGAGAAGATATGGACTCAGTGTTGAGGGCAGGTTGTGGAGCAAAAATGAGGTGGTAGGAGAGCAGGACCAGCTTTCCAAGGGAATATCCCTCACCCCAGCTCCTGCCTTTTCCCATCCCACATGGCCCCTTTTGGTGGCTCCCTCTCACACCCCCAAGGGTCCTGTGCTTAAGCTCTCTGTAATAGAGGACCCCAGGCCATGCCCACCACAACCCCCAACCCAGGTGAGACAGATCCTGGACTCCAAGCCTGTGAGACTACCCATTTCACAGATGTGTAAACCGAGGCCCAGAGAAACAGCTGTGCCTAGCCCAGAGCCAGCAGCAGACTGGGGTCATCCTCTCTCCATCCAGTGCTCTCTCTGCTTCATGAAGAAGATACCGTAGTCCCTGACCCTGGCCTCTGTAGGGAGTCCTCCCTCTCCCCAGCCTACCTGCCTCAGTTGCTTGAAGTGTCAGAACAAGGAAGACAAGGGCAGCCAGGAGCGGAGTATTCAGGTTGGCCATGCTCTTGTCCTTGGTCGCCTAGCCTAGGTGTCTGCAATCACCGGATGACAGGAAGGCTTGGTATTTAAACACTTGCTACACCCACAAGTCTCAGACGCTCTTAGTCACTGGTGGGCTCTGAATCGGTGACATTCACGTTATGAAAGAAGAACTCCTGCTTCCTCCAAATAAAAGGAAACTCTCTGTGGCTGGGAACAGCTCAGAGGGGACCCCCAACTTGCCCTTTCCTCTGAGTCTCAAGAGATCTGCAAAATCCCCCTTGAGCTGGGCCTCTCAGGGACCTGTGTGTCCTCACTATAGGGCCTTCACCACGGCACTGGATGTCTCTGGGAATCAGTTTGCCCATCTGGAAATGGGGGTGATGCTTTCACAGCCGTACCTATTTCCCTCAGAAGTTGCTCATAAGACAGTGTGAAGGGGGACGGGGGCTGGCCAGTCCTAAACCTTCACCCAGAATGGAGGTGTCTGTAGCCTTGATGATCTGCATCATGGATCTTCCTTCCAAACAAGAACTCTTCAGGCTGGCTTCTCTGGCTCCCACCAGCATCTTCCAGGGCTTCTCACACAATCCCGACTTAGGCCAATTCATGATCCCCTCCACGGTTGCAAAGAGCTTCCACACACTTCCATCTTGCCTGTTCTTCCTTCCCAACTGTCTCCAGGCTTTTCCTCACCTCTCGCCATATCCTGCTGATTCTGCTTCCTAAGTTTCTCTCTCTCTCTTTTTTTAAAATTTATTTATTCATGAGAGACACAGAGAGAGAGGCAGAGACATAAGCAGAGGGAGAAGCAGGCTGCCCGCAGGGAGCCCAATGTGGGACTTGATGCCAGGACCCCGGGATCACCCCCTGAGCCAAAGGCAGATGCTCAACCACTGAGCCACCCAGGTGCCCCTACTTCCTATGTTTCTCTTGGAATTCCTGTCTTCTATCCCCATTGCTCCTGCCCAGTCCAGGCCGCCTCCACCTTGGACTTGGATGTTGGCTCTCAATCCCCTGTCCATGCCACAGTGGTCAGAACGGCCCAGATTGAAAGTGGCACAGGCCTCTCTCCTGCTTCAAAACGCTTCTGTGACCCTTTGACCCAAGGGCAGAGCTCAAGGTCCTGACTATGGCCCTTGGGGCCCCCTTCCCAGACATACTCCCTCCCACACTGATCTCTCCCCCCTAAGGGATCACACCACACTCCTCACACTTCCTCAAAGAGCTCTGCAACCTGTTCTTCACCATCGGTGCCCTTTCTACTTCTCTACCACATAAACTCCTACTCGTGCCCCAAGTGCCATTTGAAATGTCACCTTCTAGGTAAGCACACCCCTCAGGACTTGAAAGTTCCGGAGGGTGACCTAGAACATGGACTTGGGTAGACTCTGTCAGGTTTTCTCTTTCTTGACCCCTTCCCAGAAGCTGAACTCCTGGAAGGCAAGGGTCTGCTTATATCTGTCTTGGCATCCCCAGTGACTACCAAGAGTGGGGTACATGATGGGTGCTCAGAACACCCATCTCCAATGAAGGAGAATCTGAGGCTCAGATAACAAGGGGACTTACCCAAGGTCACACAGCCAGTAAGTGATGGGGCCAGCTTAGAAACTCAGGACCCGACACTCCATTTGCAAAGGGCCATATCCAACCATTCACTCATTCAACAAATATTTATTAAACGCTATAGAAGACAAAATAACAGTCCCTCCAATGTGTCCACATCTTAGTTCCTGAAATCTGTGAATATGTGATCTTACATGATAACAAGGACTTTGCAGATGTATTTATGTTAAAGACTGTAGGAGTGTCTGGGTGGATCATTCAGTTAAGACTCTGCCTTCGCCTCAGGTCATGATCCCAGGGTCCTGGGATGGAGCCCCATGTTGGGCTCCCTGCTCAGCAGGAAGTCTGCTTCTCCCTCTCATTCTGCTGCTCCCCCTGCTTGTGCTCTCTCTCTCTGTCAAATAAACATATAAAATCGTTTTTAAAAAAGTTAAAGACTGTAAAATAAGGAGATTGTCTGGATTTTCTGGGTGAGCCCAAAGTCCTCACAGAATCATTATAAGAATGGATTAGACTCAGAGCAGATGGAATGACAGAAGCTGAAGTCTGGAAGATGGAGGTTGATGAGCCTGCAGAAAGTCTCTGGAAGCTGGAAAAGGCAAGGAGCTTCCGGAAGGAACACAGCCCTGTTGACATCTCAATTTCAGTCCACTGAAACTGATTTAGGACATCTGACTTCCTAACTGTAAGAGAGTGAATCTGTGTTGCTCAAAGCCACTAAGTTTGTGGTCATTTGTTACAGCAGCAAGAGGGAACTAATACGAGCCCCCGTCATGTGCCAGGTACAGGGCCAGGATCTGGGATATGGCAGTGAACAGGTCCCTGCTAGCGCAGATTTTACCCTGGAGGCTAATGAGAGACAGGCAAATACCAAACAGGGTAATATCAGGCTATTGTGAGTGCTGTGAAGAAAATCAAAGAGAGAAAAAGAGACAGTGACAATAGGGAAGCAGTTTTGGGTTGTCGGTAAAGGCCTTTATGAGGAGGTGACATTCGTGCTGAAATCCACAAGCTACCAAGGAGCCTGCCAGGAAGAAAGAACAAGTGCCAAGGACTTCACAAGGCAAGGGGCGCCTGGGTTGCTCAGCCAGTTGAGCCTCTGACTCTTGATTTTGTCTCAGATCATGAACTCACAGGTTGTGAGATAGAGCCCCGCCTCAGGCTCAGTGTTTAATGCAGAGTCTGCTTGGGATTCTCTCTCTCTCCCTTTGCCCCTCCCCATGATCATGCTCTCTTCTCTCTCTCTCTCTCTCTCTCTCTCTCTTTAAAGATTTTATTTATTTATTCATGAAAGACACACACAGAGAGAGAAAGAGAGGCAGAGACATAGGCAGAGGGAGAAGCAGGCTCCAGCAGGGAGCCTGACGTGGGACTCAATCCCAGGACTCCAGGATCAGGCCCTGGGCTGAAGGCAGGCGCCAAACCTCTGAGCCACCCAGGCATCCCTCTATCTCATATATATATATATATATATATATATATATATATTTTTTTTTTTTAAAGGCCCTGACAGGCCGAGAGGGCTGAGCAGCTGGGGGTGGAGGGAGCAAGAGGTGGCTAGGGCCGAGTTGGAGAAGCTGGCAGGCAGGGTGAGGCAGCTGCTATCCCCGTGAGCCTCCCAATGGAGATGTACCGTATCACCTGGGAAGACCTCGTGTCAAGTGGTGTTATCCAAAGCCAGTCGCAGAAGGACAGATAATGTATGATTCCACTTCTATAAGGTTCCTAGTAGTCAAATTCATAGACACAGACAGTAGAATGATGGTTGCCAGGGGCTGGAGGGAGGAGGGAATAGTTGGTGTTTAACAAGCCCCATTTTAGTTCCGGAAGATGGAAAAGTTCTGGAGATAGATGGTGGTGATGGGGCACAGCAACATAAATGTGCTTAATGCCACGGAATTGTACTCTCAAAAATGGCTACAATGGTAAATTTTATGTTACATATATTTTACCTATTAAAAAAGTGAGTCAGAAGAATGTGCAACTTTTTTTAAAGATTTTATTAATGAAAGATGCAGAGAGAGAGAGAGGCAGAGGGGGAAGCCAGAGGGAGAAGCAGACTCCCTGTGGGGAGCTTGATGCAGGACTCAATCCCAGGGCCCTGGGATCACAACCTGAGACAAAGGCAGATGCTCAACCACTGAGCCACCCAGGTGCCCCAGAGTGTGCAACTCTTAATCTCCAGGTCATGAGTTCAAGTCCCATCTTGGGTATAAAGATTACATACATACATACATAAATCTATCTTTAAAAGAAAAGCATATGAGGGATCCCTGGGTGGCTCAGCGGTTTAGGTTTAGCGCCTGCCTTTTGCCAAGGGCGCGATGCTGGAGTCCCAGGATCGAGACCCGCATCGGGCTCCCGGCATGGAGCCTGCTTCTCCCTCTGCTTGTGTCTCTGCCTCTCTTTCTCTCTCTGTGTGTGTCTAACATGAACAAATAAATAAATAAATCTTTTAAAAATAAAAATTATTTAAAAAAAGCATATGAAAAGATGTTCCGCATCATATGTCATCAGGAAAATGCAAATTAAAACAACAATGAGGTACCACTACATAGTCATTGGAATGGCCAGAATCTGGAACACTGACAATAGTAAATTCTGGTGACAATGTGGAACAGGAATTCCAATTGATTGTTGGTGGGGATGCAAAATGGCACAGCCACTCCAGAATGCAGTTTGGCAGTTGCTTACAAAACCTAAACATACTCTCACCACAGAATCCAGTGATCATGCTCCTTGGTATTTAACCCAGAGAAGTTACTTATGCCTACACAAAAGCCTACATTCATAGTTATAAGTGCCAAAGCTCAGAAGTAACCAAGATGTCCTTCATTGGGGAACAGATAAACTGTGGCATAGCCAGATAATGAACTATTACTCAGTGCTAAAAAGAAATGAGTTTTAATGAGTTACCAAGCCGTAAAAAGACATGGAGTTGTCTTAAATCTACTTAAATCTTTTTTTTTTTTTAATTTTTATTTCTTTATGATAGTCACAGAGAGAGAGAGAGAGGCAGAGACATAGGCAGAGGGAGAAGCAGGCTCCATGCACCGGGAGCCCGACATGGGATTCGATCCCGGGTCTCCAGGATTGCGCCCTGGGCCAAAGGCAGGCGCCAAACCGCTGCGCCACCCAGGGATACCAATCTACTTAAATCTTACTAAGTGAAAGAAGCCAATTTGAAAAGATGGCATATTGTATAATCCAACTATATGACATTCTGGGAAAGACAAAACTATGGACACAGTAAAAAGATCAGTGTTTGCTGATGGAGTTATGGGGAAGGAGAGATGAATAGGAAGAGCAAGAGGATTTTTTTTTTTTTTTTTTTTTTAGCAAGAGGACTTTTAGGGCAGTGGAAACACTCTGACTGACTTCTCGCCTTCAGAACTAGATGGCAAGAAATTTCTAGTTGTTTGAGGCCCACTTGGTTACGGCGGCTCTAGGGAGTCC